TTAAACTTTTGCGTGGTTTTAAGCTTCTTATTATTTTTAAGAAAATCTATTATATGTTTAGTGTCAGGCAGTGTAATTTTTACCGGACGCGATTTACCATTTTAGCTAGACCATTTTAGACTAGCAAATTTTCATTTATACTGGCCAAAACACTAGCAGACGCACTCTCAGCTAAACTTTTTATAAAGGACTTTTCCTTACACAACTGAACTGCAAGAAAAATTTCGGTCAGAGATTCCAGAGTTTCTCTAATGATTGATCCTACATATTCATTAAACTTTTTAAAATTTTGAGGCAATTTTCTGAAGATTTTGTTCAAATTATGTTCTTTGTATTGACAAAGAACATCATTTGGACATTTGAAGATGATATTCCTTTGACAGTTATTAGGAAATCTGACAATTCAGATTGCCTAAACAAGATCACCTTAACTTTCCCAGTCATCGTTATCGATAGCCAGATCGACATAGTCTTGAAAATGTATAGGCTTTGTGATATCAAATAAATCGTTATTAGCGTGATTATATGTACGGTCTCTTCATCTACCTCGTTCTTATTTACATTTCCTAATTCTGACTCACTGTTTGATGGTATTTTGTATAACGTAAAGAGGTCATTGGAATTTAAGTTTTCCAACGCGAAAAGGGGAAATGTATGCGCTTATATGAAAAAAAGATGTTTGCCTATTGGTTTCACTGTATAATCGGCTATATTTTCGTAAGAAATAAAAGCCAAACACAGCTGACACAACTTATAACTTATAACCAGGCATCACATCAGTTGTTACATCAGTACACTATATAATTACATACTTCACAAACCTGCCATTACCAAATAGACACAAGAAACATATACAGCAGCTTCCCCACCTAACACATGCTATGGTATATTATGTGTAACCTAAGAAACGACAACAGACCTGGACCGTGGCGAAAGTTTTTACGCGACAAACATTTAGAACCAATTAAGCGACGCCCCTTACCTAACCTAAGTTTTGCGGTGAAACCAGTAGGTTAAAGTAGTAATTAAAGTAGGTAGTTAAAGGGTTGAAAGATGAATAACTTATGTAACATATTGTACGATATATAATATTTACTACAACACTTGTTTTTTTTTTCAAGTACAACCCACCCCCCGAATACCATTTGAATACTTTATTACGTCATAAACTAACACAAATAACATGTATTAAAAATTTCAGCTGGTATAAATTATTTTTTTCAAGAATGTTTTAACTTGTCCGAACACTCTCCCACCTACACCCATCTCGATCGCAACAGCTGAAATTGGTTTTTGACATTAACTATGCATCAACAAGTGTCGCTGAACGGAAAGGGTGGAATACAATACAAACATGCTTATAAATTATAAGAAATAAATATAATATTTATGCAAAACATAATTCCAAACAATACACCGGATGTTAATGATGAGATGGCTATGCATCAGCTTGCCATATTCTTATTTATAGGAAGAATCATCAATCTTCGATCTCAAATTGAAAAATTAAATACCCTGTATAATCTTTATTTTATAACTATACGACACATTTAAATTTAAATTTTTGTCACTTCGATTAAAAGTGACGGGACTTTTTCGTAGAAATCTAAGTTAGTTACTAAAAATGTTTGTAACTAAAGTAAAATTATAACAAAAATTGTTATACTAGGTCTTGAAAATGAAAATATGACTCACTCACTACATTGAATTTATCGAATGTCGTATGAGCATCGAAAAAGTACCGAATAAGTATGAAAATAACAATAATATTTCTAATGAAAAACAAACTTGTGTGAGTGACTTTTGTACCTTGTAAGTTAATATATATTTTTTAAATGGTAACCCTTACGTTGTTTACACCATGGAAATCTTTATTGCTTTAAATATAAACAAATATAAATATGTGAATGGATTGCGTTATAAATGGTTTGCAGAATATTTTTTTCTCGTGAAAAGTTGTTAGTCCAGGGAATGTTTTACAAGAAAAAATATTATGTTCGTATCTTCGTTATATCGTACATTATGTTTGATTACCATGTTTCAAAAGCATTTAAAGTTAATAAGAGTTTTATCAATTGTGTAATCGGGACTGCCCTGTGAATAAAAGTATGGATAACATCGTTCACCGGGAAATGCTCACAAAAACTACATATTGGCTAACAACTTCGGCATCCACGCCATATATACATATTTCATCACGATGACCATCCTATGCAGCGCTGAATACAAAATCACTTCCAGCAGCTTGCATAAATATACAGAATTATTAATCTTCCTCTTTTTTACAGCAACGGCATTCCCTGGTGGAGCTGATAGAAAATTTTCTAAAGCATTCAAGGAACAGGAACTTTTGCAGTAGTTCTGTCACGAAACTTTGTATCGTCTTCACTAGGCAGGCTTTCAGTAACCGATTTTCAGTTCAACAGCTACGAGAAATAGAAATACAAAAAATAATATTTTATGTGAGACCTATTAAGCGCTCTAATTAAACTTTTGAACTGATTTTTAAAAATGAATGTAATACGTATTCATTTCTACCTCTGGTCAACTAACTCCATATGCGGAGTTAGTTCAACCTTCTTGTGGGGGAAATAAACCTAAAAATAGCGTTAAGAAAAAACTCTAAGGTATAAACTTTAAGGAGAAACAAAACTAAACGGCCCCTTTCATTTTTATTACATTTGAAAGCTATTTAATATTAAATACCTTTATCAAATTTAAAATTTGTACATTTAACGTTCATTAAATATGATATACATACATTACTGTGCATACTTACGAGATCACCTAGATTTTACAAAAATGATGTTTATTGTCAATCGAAAAAATTACGTCAATATCACATATACATATATTAATGATATATATTTTAATGATCTTGATACAAAATTCACTGTTACAGTAGTTAGAACAATAAAATATTTCAGTTTTTCAAATCGAAAAACATTAAAATAAAATATTTTAATGTTTTTTAAATTAATTTAATTTTTATTTTAAAACATTAAAATAGAATATTTTAATGTTTTTTAGTAGTAGCTTAATTTATTGATAGAACTGCAATTTTTGTTATAGAACGTAAATATAAACCTATTATCTTTAACCTATACAGCTCTCACCATTTCATCCTCTCTTGGAACTGCTTTAATAATTCTAGAGGTCATTTTAAAGGAAAAAAAGGTTTTGTATTCCTTTAATAATTTGCTAATTCCACATTTGGCTTAGAAACAAGTAGTTTTGGTTTGCCCTGGAGGTGAGCTAGAAGTCAAATGAGCTAGAAGTCAGACATGTTCGGTAATATACCAGGATCTGAATTCTAAAGTTACCAAATCATTGTTTGAGTCGTGCCTTAGTCAGATAATCCATTTAAATAAGCCTTTACGATTTGAACGCTATGTTTGGGATCATTGTCATGCTGGAAGAAGTCGAAGAAGTCGTGTCCCAGAAGGTGTTGCATGTTCTTGTACAATCTTTAAATACCATTCTGCTGAAAGGAGTCCTTCAATTGTCATTAACGGACCAACTCGCTTTGGAGAAAAACAGCCCCACACAAAGATAGATCTACCCCTATGATTGACAGTGGCCTAAAAACGCGCGCGCAAACTGAATTTTTCAAATTTGAATTATTGATCCCAGTACGTGAGACCAATATTGTACAGTCCACTATCTATGAGTCTGAGCATAGTATTTTGTGCGTTCATCTCCTTTTCAAAACAATTGTTTCTTTTTAGCCATAAGATCTCGATTTAGCCTAAGACGCTTTTAATCAAGTTTAGTGTCTACTTACTGTAGATGAATATCAGTATCAGAATGATGAATATCAGTTACCTCTTGCCTGACATACAAGCAACAAAAAAGGCAACTAATGCAAATGAGTTCTAGAGCGAGAATGAAACAATATAATCGGATGATTTCATTGACAAATTTTTCAGCAGTTTACCTAAGCTAAATCTACTCTGAAATTACGGCCGAGGGCGGTCGCAATATTTTCTTATAAGTAGTCAGTAAATCATTAAACGAAATATAATACATACAGTATTGACCTATTTTTTTTTAGATTGACTACAAACTACACTGTACAGTGGTAACATATGAACTGCCCTCTAGTGTGCATAAATATGACTCGACGTGTTCCAGCGGGTCTGATAAGGTTAGCAACCGCTAGATGTTGTTTCTACAGCATACAATTAATGGTAAAGTTGAGTTGAGATCCGTCAACATCAAATGTAAATGAGAACAATTCCCGTTCACTGTTATACATCATCAGAAATCATAGATACGGTTTTCGACCTCATTGGGTATTATCAGCATGATATATCTACTGATGAACAACAATGATTGACACCCTCGGCTTGTTTTCTCGCCAAGAGAAATACAGTGGTGACCTATGGACTGCTCTCTAGTGCATAAGTAGGACTCGACGTATTCTAGATGTCATTCCTGCAGCACACCATTAATGGTAGGTCCGTTAACCTCACATGAAAATGAGAATAATTCCCTCTTTTATAAACAAGTTCAATTTATGCACATTAGAGGGCAGTCCATATGTCATTACTGTATTTTTTGTGGCGAGAAAACACGCCAAGGCTCTCGTTCATTATTGTTCATCGTCAGATATATGCTGATGAGAGCCAATAAGGTCGAAATTCCGATCTATGAATTCTGATGACGTATAACAGTTCTCATTTACATTTTTGTGGTGAAAAATGAAGGTATTTATATCAATTTAAAAATGGTGACGAAATAGAAAATTAATAATATTATTACATATTTGGTCTAACAAAATATTAAAAAGTGGTATGTTATTGATATTGAAGAAATAAATGATGAAGAAATGATCATAAAGCGTTTGAATATAGTACGCACATAAACATAATACTAAATAAGAAATCACACCACGGAAATTGATATTCTCCTTTTAACAGTCATTACAAGTGTGCAGAAGGAGAATACACATGGAAAAGACGTGGGACACACAACCAAACCCTGTGACAGGTGCCAATTGCCACAGGCGGGATTCGAACCCGCGCGGATAATAGCTCTCGGAGTAATCGTCATCTTCTCACCTAGCGCTTTACCCACTGAGCTATCGCCGCGGCATCATTTTTTTATACCCTTAGTAATAAGTATGTAGTAGGTAGTATATAGGTATGTAGGTAAATATATTTTTGACACCACCAACGACATAATTTGAAAATAGTACGCTTATTAGTATCTACAGGTATAATCTATAAGAGATTATATAAGAGATACGAAAAGGTTTAAATTGTGGCAACGTCGATCAATTTTCTTTGTTGTTCAATCAAATGAATGCCGTTTGAAAATTGAAGAAATTCCAAATACAACCGGAATTTTTAAATCCGGAAAATTTTGAAAATTTTGCGCCACCAAATTGCAACTTTTTCTTTTCTGCTAAATGACACTATCAATTTTTGAGCCCGATATTTAGATTTTTTTGGGTTCATCATCAACTTCATTTTTTTAAATACAGACCTGGATGTTTTATTTCAGATTTCGAAAGAGCTCGTCTTTTTAAAAACAGACATGTATGTTATATGTTACTGAACGTTGCGACGTAAAATCGAAAAAAAGAACGTAAAAGAAGAAAAACGTAAAAAAAGAAGAGTGGGCACTGGAACCTTCACTGGGACCGGCGTAGAAATAAATAAATTAATAACAATTTTTTGTTTAAAAAACAAGCTTTTATTTAAAGGCTCTAAAAAGAAGAAAATAAACTTTCAATTGAATCAAACCCATCAATTTATTACATTATACAATTTATATGATATAAAGCTTGTCACGAGATTTACTTGTGTAGATGTATTTACCTATTCTATAAAATACATACTTTTTTTTTTTTTTTTAGATTTTCTTATGTCAAGATCAAGTTACATAATTATTACATTCTTGTTTATCTACACAAGTAAATCTCGTGACAAGCTTTTATATCATATAAATTGTGTAATGTAATAAATTGATGGGTTTGTTTCAATTTAAAGTTTATTTTCTTCTTTTTTAGAGCATTTAAATAAAACCTTGTTTTTTTTTTAATTATTATTAATTTATTTTTTATTTTTTAGTTACCGTCGTGTTTTTGTATCTAAATGTTTCTCAACCTGTTCATACTATCCCTAACCTATACCAAGTTATAACTCTTTAAAATTGGTATGGTGGCCATCTTGTTTTTCGCCATTTTGAATTTTTTTCACCGCCGCTAGAATTTGCCTAGGGTATAGATTGATATTAATTAAGACACGACCCCGCTAAGTCTTACTGTTTAGCCGGGCAGTAGTACACCATCTCCTCGAAGGGTTGAACGCAAACGTCAGTTTATACATATTCTTCTTAGCAAACCCTTTCATTTGATACCCACATTATGGGAGTGCTTAAAAATAACTAGTCCGCCATCTTGGGCGGTCCGCCATATTGAATTTAGAGTAAATACATTTTATTTCTCTTCTTTATTCTTAGCAAACCCTTTCATTTGATACCCATATCATGGGAGTGCGCAAAAAATAACTATTCCGCCATCTTAGGCCGTCCGCCATTTTCAATTTAGAATGACATAACTTAGCTAACCATGCATTCTCATCCAAACTAAACGTGTATGCAAAATTTCATCTCAATCGGTTGAGGATAACTACTTTAAAATTCAGTTGCAAGATTTGACCCGAACACACATACAAACATATATTGCAAGTTAAATAAAGGCTTGTAAAAACTGAACGTTTTCCATGAAGCACCGAACTACTATACTTTTTCTCGACGCGCGTTTCGCCAACCTAGTTTATTATTAACTAATAAACTAAACTAACTAAAAATTAACTAATAATCTAAATAACTAATAAAACTAAATTCTAACCTACACACTTGCACTATTTATACTTAATTTGTCGCCACGGTTCACTGAACCGTAACATCTGTCTGTTTATCAGGGCAGTGGACTGGTGGGTATTGGACCTTATTCACACTACTGTTACATTTAATTATTTCTAAACTTTCAAAAGCATCGAACTGCCTACTGTTTATTACATTTCTAATAAATTTTAAATTATTTATATAGACATAAATAATTTAAAATTAACATATGGTTGATGTCAATAGCATATTAGTTCTCGACTAATATCCACAAGATACAGGGCCATCAATGAGTTTTCGCTAAAACGTATTGTCGTGTATACGAGTCGTATACAATGAATTTATATTATTGCAACAGTAATTTATAGTAAATTAACACAAAAGAAATATTTTCTATTGAAATTTGGGCTGGGCACGAGCCCCTGTGCCTTTTATCACCAGCCGCCACTGATATTATTTACTTCATTACAATAGTAAGCAAAAGTCTTTTAATCTAGGAAACCTTAAAGCGCTGTTCTGTAAATCAATGACAAATTGTCGGTTCTTCGCAAATCAGATCCTAATCTGGAATTCGCAAACAATATTTTTAAATTGTATGAACCTGGATATCAAAGGGAATATAAACTTAAATAAATAAACTCAAAGTATATACTAAATTGCGTCCTAGTGCTCGAGAAGGAAAATTGTACTCAATTTGTTAACAAAATTTCAGCTCAAAAGATCTGTAAAAACTATAAACTGAACTGAAAGTGAATAAATTTAAGATTTAACTCGAAGTAAACTATTTTTCAAGGATACTCTGAATCAATTGAAAACTTCAAATTGATTTAACAAGTATAAGCAGTACATTTAATAAAGGACTCCGCACAGTTCTTATGGGATGTGCCCTTCGGTGAAATTGGCTGAATTTTTAATATTTTGCTCTCCATGATCTGACAAAAAAATCTCCGTGACATCTGATCAAAAGTCTCTAAGAGTTATAAAACGAGTAGTTTTTCTGATATGGCATTAAAATGTATTTTCTCCGTCACCATTGTTGGAGTTGGAAAATCTGTACCTACGACTTTTTATTATTATTCGCTAAATAAACATTTAATAATTCATAGTTTTGTGGACACCTTGTTAATAATGTTAGATCAATAGATGTTAAAAATAACAATAATTATTATACTAACAATGGATAGGTATACATAGGTCAGTTTGACAGATCTGGCACAGGTTGATTTTTACAATGTCAATATTATAAAATGTTTTATGTTAACTTCATTATTACTTTTAATCCAATTTTTTTTTGCCGTAATAACTTTTCTGTTGATTAAGTTACATTAAAGATATAAATCTCGTGCATTCTGGTGAAAATTGAATACTTATTGACATACTAGGTACAAATATTTTTTTTCATTTTCAGATCGCCAAAAATAATGAAGGTGAAAATACATGTTAAGGCCGTTCTAACAAACTATCTATTTGAACACTTTAAGCCCATAGAGACTTTTGGTCGGGTGATCATGGAGAGCGAAATATCAACAATTCAGCGAATTTATTTCACCGAGGGGCACTTCCCATTAAAATTGTGCGAGATCCTTTGCATATTCCGTGAAATGAAAATTGTCAAATTTTAGACCATACAATGACCTTGACCTTTGACCTTGATCAAGATCGAACACCAATATAAAATTTCCCGCTCTTTGTATTTCCGATATTAAAAATATGGGTTCCCATTTTAACGTTTTTTTTTTTTTTTTCTAAAATGCTTCCCTGACGAGTTATTCAGGTGTGTCCATACTTTTGGGACACCCGGTGTATTATGCACTATGTGCATCTCCAATACTCACCCAAGGTATATTTTCGCTCTACTACGAACCTGTGAATGTTGTAAATTTTAGCAGAAATCAAATTAATCTTGATCTCGGGGAATTTAAACTCCATTATATACAGGGTGACCTTTAAAAATGGAAACACTGGTGTAAAAAAAGTTATTTACTAAATGATTTGAACGGGACTTTTTTAATAGATAGATCATCAAAAACTATACTTAGGTGCAAAAGATCAAGACGATATATTAATTTTCAAAGCCTACTACCATTTTTTTCCTAGTTAAATAATTGCTAAGTACGTTTAGCGATTTTTTTTATTCAAAATCTAATTACACCAATGGATTCAGCAGACCCTCAAATGGGTTTGTAGCAATTTTTGCGAAAAAAAGTTTGTTTTTAAAAAAGGTGTTATTCAAAGTACAAAATTATTATCATCGGTGTTGCGGTTACCGGTAAGTATATTTTTTTAAACCGGAAAGGGCCTATAGAAAAATAAATTATATTTGTTTGAACTATGTTTCGTTTAATCTTCTGTTCTATTCGTTAACTGTTTTTTAGTTTCTAAGTACTGAGTTTTAGTTATCTTTAAAACATCTTCATTAATTTCTTGAATTTTTTTCTTATATTAGATGGTCATTTTTATTGTATTCGAAAATTTATTTTGTGGAAAATTATTCATTGTTCCAATTTTAACATCTAATATGACTTTCTCAATTGAAAAATTATCACGTTTTAACAATCCAAACACTAGTCTGAAAGTTGCAAGTTTGGAATTAAATTGACCTAGAGAAAGTATCAGACGCAGTCCAGTAGGCAGAGATTTTTATGTGATCTTGAAAGATATAGGGCTAGTTTTGACGGTTCCCTAAGTATTTTTTTGCGTAGAACACAATGCGCGGGGTCCGTAGAGCTGAAATCGTCCTCTATTTGTTTAAATTAACAATTAAAAAAAAAAAAAAAAAACTTCGCTTATATCTCCGTTCCTTGGCATATTTGAAATAACATATGCATATAAGAAGTTGTAGCCTATTGAATTTAGAAAATTTTAAGCTCAACCCAAAGTCTCCAAGTGCTGTTGTTAACTTGCAAATGACTACTGAAGATGAAAAAGTGCTTTTTTCACTATTTTTTTACTTCGAAAGTAGGGCCACTATGTTCATGAAATTTCTTGGAGAGATTGCTATTTGGTTTTAAATTTTATTGCAGAAATTAAAAAGAAAAAAAGATAAGATTTTCCGGTGTTGGAATTTCGTTACATTAAAATAAAACACAAATCATTATCAATGCAGAAAATGTTCAAAATGCATGCCTCCAGCATGGCTTCAAGACGCGTATTTAAACAAAAAATGGGAGTCAAGATATTATAGTCACAATTCCGACAATTTCGAAGCGGCAACGCTAAAATAATATATGTATACGTCGCG